CACACACACACACACACACACACACACACACACACACACACACACCACATTGGATAAAATCATAGTAAAAGTATACTTTATTCCTCTGACTTATTCTTTTGCTGATTGAGATTAAGAAAGCAATCAGAATGTTTTGACTGAAAACATACCTGAACAATTCCATTGACATGGAAACACATAACAAGTTCTGGAACATTGCAGATCAAGTTGTCCAACCAATAATCAATTCCTGTTAGCACATTAATTGGCTTATTGTTATCCCTTCAAATAAAAATGTTCTAATATTATTTCAATAAAATGTTAGGATATTAAAATATAAATAGAAGTGTTGATTTCAAATTAAATTCTGTTAATACAATATAAATCTGTGAATATTAGCTATCAGGACTAACAGGAAAATGGAAACATTTGCAGCAGATATGAAATCAAAAGTGGTTTTGAAATAATGACCATTTTTGTAATTTTATTTCTATTATGTAGTGGAAACTTCAATTTAAGAAGCAAGTTTAAAGATTGTCCTTTAAAACCAACTAATCAGAAGATCACAAAAATTAAATTATTAATTGCAAGTGAACTACAGAGGTAAAAAATGAAAAATATACAGAATAGAACCCAGAATATAAGTTTGACCTATCAATATTTTACATATTTTAAATCCTTCAAATTTAATATACTAACAACATTGAACAGGGTTTTTTTTGCCAAATGGGTAAAACATAGATTAGACTTTTTGAAAGCTCCTCATCCGTTGCAACTACTTAAGCTTAGTTCATATTGAACAAGGAATTCATTTTTGAAGTGACTTTATTAGCAACAAGTTATAAGTAAAAAATGACAGAAGCATTTTTCAACAGGGAGCCATCTAATTTAATTCACTTAATTCACCTGAGACGCAAGCTGACAGCAGGGTATCTTCCTCCTCCAAATATAGGCATATTTGAACCTACCAACATGTGGATATCTTCAAATGTCCATAAGATGTTCCTAACGAAGTCATTTTTAAGACCCTTTAAATTTGAAGAACATACCACGTATAAACATTTATTCTCTTTGTTATAAAAGAAAATGCAGCATAGCTTTGCAGACTTAACAAAAAGTGAGATGCACAAAGAGCAAATAAGCCATAATACATGGTAGCTATTCTAGATTTTCATAATTAAAAAAAATCAAGGTGCCACAAAACAATTGATAACAATGATTTTTCCCCCTCAGCTGCACTGTAAATCAAACTGAGCAAAGGGTTTTCCTCATGTCAAATTCCACATAAAATCATACCTGACTGCTTTCCCCGTCACTGAACAAAGTAGTTAGGTTTTGTTCTTTGGGGGCTGAGGCCACATGCCCCACTACATATGAGGATTCAAGAGGTACACTTCCCTGTGAAAAGCACAAGGGGCATAAGTGATTCTAATGTTGAAATGATATAAACTCTGCTTTCAATAAAGTTTTGCACATCGGATAACCTATCTGTGAAGGCTTTTTTTCACTGACATACATATTTTCTTCAACCAATATCTTTGAACAGGCCATCATGAAAATTGTTTATAAACAAACTCATTGTTAAGTCTTTGCAATTTCTTTGTTCATATAAACAGCCTTATCTAGAAAATATGAATCTACCAATCTCTGCATAAAATTCAAGCAAGATTATTTACACACTAGTCTTCTATATGTACTTAGCAGGTACTGAAATGTTTTGCAATAATAAAATTATTAATGTTCCCAATGGATGACAAAATGTTTGCTTGCATTTATATTATAAATTGTCTTGAGTTTTATTAACTGTTTTGCATTCTCACAACTTCTGAGCCCAATCATGGAAAAACAAACCCTGACTTCTCTTTTAAGACTAGCTCTCATATTCAGAACAAGAACTATATTTGCACGAAGCAACAACTTTGCTTTCCTAGTTTCAGTAATCTCATTCTATGCTACCCCACCTCAAAAGTGTCATATCCTATTTAAGAACCAGACTTGGAACCCTCTGAAACTTAAAAGGGAATGATCAAGCAACTGGCAGTTAAATCCTATGAAGAGAGAGATTATAGGAAATCAGAACATCAGAGCAGTTTTGACAATTACTTAGGGAGGTAATTGTCTTCTTCGTTGAATAAATTAAAGTTGAACCTTGTATTTTATTTCTAGATTCCTCCACTAGGAAGCGATCTCTTCCAACTTTGAGTCTCTGACTTCCTATGTCTGTCTTTCTCTATTCCGTGACCTTGATACAAAGGGAATTTTCTCAAGTGCAGATAGCTGTCAGGTTAAGATGGCAATTTGGATGGAATTGCTATTAGTAAGAGATGTATTTGCAAAGTACATCATCATGTGATCACATCATTTAAGAGTTGTAATCTCAAGATGCATGGGTTGCTAAACAGAAGCAGCAGGCGTTCCAGATTAGGAGCATAAGAGTGCCGCAAAGGGTTGGGGGAAGTTTCGGATTGGCCAAAAGACAGATTTCTC